ACGCACAATAAAACAGAGAGAGAGAGATGGAGATAGAAGGAAATGGAAAGGAGAAAGCCTTTCCTTTGGGCCTCCTTTCGGTGGCCTTTTGTTTCAATTGTCTGTAGTTTAGGTTTTAGGCGTGCGAGCCTCGTTATAGGTAACTGTAACTGGTTACGGCGTATATGTACACGTATCCTTGTGTGTCTCAGTGTGTGTGTGTGTGTGTGTTTGGTGTCCTTTGCAAACAATAAACGACTGTCAACATATGCGCGAGCCACCCGTGCACGCGTCTCTGGAATGGCGTGCGAATTATTGCCCAGGAAGATATGACATAAAATTTAATGAAATGTTCAGAAAATGCTAAAATCCATGTTCTCGGTCCCCAAGTGTGTGTTTTGTAAAGAAAGGGGTGTATAACTAAAGCGAAAATCGAAATCGCGGTGAAAACACAATTTAAACTTGAGTTCTCTGCGATTTGTTAAAAGTCTAGTAAGTATAGTGTCAGTTTAGGTGTTTTTTACACAAGTAAATATTCATTCTTTCGAAAAGGAGTGTTTGAAATAAGTATAACTATAACTAGTAATTGTTATACAAAATTAAACACTCGGATTATAAAATAACAATAATATGGTATCCAAAAGTAGGTGCTTCTTTTGAAACGCATACCAAACTCAACAAAGAGTCTTTGTTTTTCTACAACACACTTTTCTACAACACATGGAAACACAGGGAAATAACATTTAAAATATGAATTTGCTACTTTTTCATAATGGTCATCTTAGCATATGTATATTTCTAACAGAAACAGACGCACATTGAGATATAAAGATGGATATTAAATAGGCACAACATCGATAGTAAAAACACTCGGTAAAAGACAGAACATGCGACACCAATAACATAGATGATAATCGACTATTGTAAGTTGGTAATGAGGAATCTTTAAAACCATTTAATTGTTTTTTAAATCGTTTAATTAGTTATTAGTTCCATACGTACGATGTGAAAGTTTACTTTAGTAACCTTTTAATAATTGTAAAAGTTAAATAGGTACGATATGAACGTTAGCATTAATATTTTGTAGATAGAGAAGTGCTTAAGTCTGTGTTTTAGTATTAACTTCTTAATAGCCGACATATAGACTTTAAAATATAATCACCAAAAAGTATTTAATTTTAAAAAAAATTTAGTCCCTTTTAAATAAGACAAGAAATATTTTATTTTAAACATCAAACCTCAATCACTTTTTAGAATTCAATTTTTCTCTCAAACGGTCTTTGTTTTCGTTCAACTTTACCAACTTATTTAGCCACCAAAGTTATAGACATAGTCCAACCTGATTTTTTGCATCCCTCACTATTGAAATTGACCTGCCACGCCCCCTTCAAGGGGCCTTGAGAGGGCATACTTACTGACACTGAGCGGCATGAGGGCGCTCTGCAAATGGCTGAAGATCTGCCGATGGTGATGGTGGTGACCCAAACTCGCACCGCTGAAGTACAGGTGGTTCTGGTGCAGCGACAACTGCTGGTGGTGATGGTGGTGATGATGGTGGTGGTGCTGTTGCTGCTGCTGAAGTTGCTGTTGCTGCTGTAGATGGTGATGTTGCTGCTGTGCCACAGCGTGTTGCTGATGGGTCATCAGTTGCTGTTGCTGGTGCTGCTGATGTTGCTGATGGCTTTGCTGGGCGAGATGTTGCTGCTGTTGTTGCTGCTGCTGGTGGATCTGTTGCTGTTGCTGTCCGTAGCCAGCATGTTGCTGCGGTGCTGCTGCCGTTGCTGATGCCGTCGGCAGTGCAACAACTGCTGCTGCTGCCGCCGCTGCAGCGGTTGCTGTTGCAGCTGCCGCTGCCGCCGTTGCAGTTGCCGTCGCTGTCGCCGTCGCTAGAATGTGATGGGTGGTTGAGGATCGGTGCTGGCTCTGGACCGTATTGAGGCTGTGAATAGAGGCGTGCACCGCCGACTGATAGATAATACCGTTGTTCGACATGGCCGTCATCGACTGGTGGTGGGCGTAGGCGGCCATCGTGGGTGGTACGCCGCCCATTGTGGGTTGCACCGCCGCCGTGGCAGCCACCGGCGCCAAAGGCAGCGATCTGTAGCCCGCCATAGCTCGAACTTTCTATTAACTGTTAACTGTTCACCGATCACTGATCACTCTGTAAACACTTTATGCCCCGATTTAGTTCTGCGTTTTTGTAGTCCGCCTTGAGCGTCTGATCGCCTGGGGATACTTGAGTTGACTAAATGGACCGACCGGAGCGGATTATTTCCTACAATTTTGTTCGTTAAATTTGTAAGTTGTATTATTTTTTTCTCAGCCATAAATTTGTAGGGGGAGTAGATTTTAGGCTTAGTTCGGGTTGATAATGTCACTCCGTGATGTTGATAAGGTCTGCCGCCTATCTTGACATCTCCTTCTGTTCATCTCGAGTCGTGTGTCAACACAAATCTCGAAAGCGAGCGGCACTGAAATTTCACAAATTTCCTGGACAACCCAACTAACTATGCAAATGATTAAATATTTATATATGTAACTTAAATTTAACTATTACAGTTGTGTGCATTTACCCTTCCCCAGAATCTAAACCTTGAACCAAAGTTCAAACTCAAACGAATTGCTAAAACCGTGGGTGAGTTTTGCCAGTTAAAAAAGAAATATATATATATTTATCCGACTTATCAAGTGACAGCTGCCAACTGAAAACTAGACCCAGATAAGCTCTAGTCTCGTGTCCTAAACAATGTCTAAGAATTTCGTGAATCACAAAGGCCAGGGGAAAATCAAAAACAATTCTTATCGTACTCTTCCTTAAAATATATGTCATACAAATAGAAATGTTTACACTAAAACACCAATTAACAACATCAATCAACCAATAAAATCACTACAATAAATAAACACATAGTACACATATAGTAAAACACATATAGGGGATATACATATAGAGTCCAGAGATCGTTGCAATCTTGAGTACACCAATTTAAATTTGACCACACAACATCGACAGAAACAACAACAAGAACGGAAAGCAAACAACAAACAGAGTTGAAGGGGCTTGAGTAAAGTGTAAACAAATTACATAAACAAATTGTGGCAAATTGGAAGATTCCGCGAGCGAAGTACTCCCGATTAAATCATGTTTGTGGAAACCTTATTGCCAGATTAACCAGTCTGTGGACATTTAATGTCGATGCACGGGCAAATATTGGTCGAGCCATCTTCACGTAAGCATGGCGACGACGATATACGTAGAGCGGTACGTAACGGAGCTAGTCTTTTTCGCAGGGCCAAGAGAAAGCCACGTCCGACACGCTTGGCCAAGGTCTGAAAACTGAAAACTGAAAGCGGAATGCTGAAAGCTGGCAACTGCCAGCGGAAGGCAAGGACATTCGGCTGGCCGACAGGATCCGAGTCCTGTTGTTCGGGCCGAGTTATTGCATTTGGGCCCGGATTCGTCGGTTGCCAGCAGCTTTAAACCTAAGCAGGAGCGAGCGAGAGGGCCAGCGAGATGATGGATATAGTAGGGGGTGGTACAGGGGGTTAGGTCTTCAAAACACCGAATGGGTGGGAGGTAAGCTGTATGTCTCCAGGCCGAAATATGGCTTAAAAACTTCAACTTACTCTAAAAGTAATCTATAATAAGTGGAACAAAAGGTAACTATGTTTATTATATCTAAAATACCTTTGTTCCCATCCTGTAAATAAGCTAGCTGGCCATAAACAATTGGCATTAGCCTAATTTCCCTGGAATGCGAAAAGAACTGTGTGGGTTGGTCCACAAAAGCACCTACACATTTCTATTGCACAACAAAATTTAGGGGTTGTTCCCCGACCATTAGAGACCTGCGCAATAGATTAACCCCCTGCCGCCGTCCATCGCCCACCTAAAACCGGAGAGGCTCGTCGTCGGCTCCATTTGGTCCTACCCCAAAAAACCCAGCGAAACCAAAACAATAACAATATCCAGGAAGCAAAAAAAAAGAAGAAACGATGGAGGGGAAGGTGAGGAATTTGCACGTGCCTGGAAAACCTTTGCACACCTTCCGGTGGGCAGTCAAGTTGGCGCTGGAATTTTTAATCAAGCCCGAAGCGCAACTATGCAACATGGACACGGACGCACCTGCAATACACGCCACAATCCATGGGATTTATTTAATATATATTTATTATAAATATATTAGGGAAATATATTTTAGAGGGAAATTAATATTAGGCAAATATTTGGGTTATTGATAAACATACTATTTGGAGGAATTTGAATATTACCTTACACAAAAATGAAAGCCACTCTGAAATTAGGTCAGCTGTAAAATGTTTTGCAAATATTCTTAATTCAAATATAACTTTGACCCTCTAACCATTAGTTTGGTTTAGTTACCAAAAAATAACTGAAGCAGAGCAGTAACTAGACATTAAAATGAATAATTATCAATTCCACACGTTTTTCAAATTATTTCTGTGAATATATACATCAGTTATTAATGGCGACAGCTACCGGAAAGTTGGGTGGAACATTTAAACAGTCTACCTAGAAACTTGATCACTTTTTACTATCCCCAAAAACAGACAAACTGACTCTTCAATTAAGGATGCTTTTAATAGTATTAGTAGATTGTAAAATAATGTTGTTAGGATGGCAGAAATAATTTTATTAAAAAGAAACAGACAACCAAGAAGGACATGCTAAGTTTCCGCCGTCTAGAATAAAATATGAACTTGTTCAATAATTTAGTCTAGATTTGACTAAAGAAATTTTAATGAGCTTGTACGACTTGTTAAACAGGGGCGAAAAGATTATCCCCGACATTTTAAAAATATAACACAACAAAGGAACAAGACTATTTAAAATCCCAATTCGTAGATATAAGATAAGACAAAATTATATAATTTTGAACAGTTATAAAAATATATTTTTTTTTAATTTGTACTTTTTAAAATTTAATGGCTTACTCTACAATTTAAACAGTATAATTATAAGGTTCATTTAAGTGATATGACGATATGATGAGTTAACAATATGTTATAATCGCCTCTCGATTTCCGTAACAACTCAGTCCAGTTTCGACACCCAGGAGTCATGCTAGCAGTATGGGTCTTTGCCCTAGTACTTCTATCATCTTTGCAAGTGGAAACCAAGTTCAAGAGTCTCCACTGTGCAAACTATGATGAATCTTTGGGCAAAATTTTACTGTGCAGAATCAAGGCTATCAACCGATACAGGAACTCGATCAGTATTCAATTCAGACAGCTGAAGACTGTCAATAATGTGCATGTAAGTTGAGAATCGAATACCTTTTCATCTGCTTGTTTTCTATTCTTAAATTCTGCCATATTCAGATGCGTTTGGAGTTATTCAAACGTGCCAATGGCTGGCGGCCTTTTCTCTACAATATTTCATTTAACTTGTGTGATTTTCTATCTAAACGAAACAATCTGATCGTGAGCCTTGGCTATGAATATCTTAAGCCTTATATTCCAATAACCAATTACACGTGTCCTTTTAAGGTAAGTATATCTCAACTCGCGAAAAATAGTTTTACCAAACTCTTGAATTTTTCAGAAAAATCATTTAATAAAATGTACTGACCTGGAGTTTGATATTGAAAAGTTTCGAGTTCGCTTCCCCATTGAATCGGGCGAATACGCTTTGCAGTTAAGTTTTATAGTCCAGAGGAAAGTCACATTGACTCTAAATGGATCACTTGAATACCGCAATTACCGAGAGCGCTAAAATGTCGAGCCCCTACGCCAAAATGGAGTTTCTATAGAAAAAGCACCTGTACTTATATGTAATTTTATTGGGAATGAGGGTATTTAAATGGAAATTAATAAAATGTTTGGTAATCGTTTAAAAGCGAACTGACAATTGTTTTTTAACGACTGTAACAAATGCTACATGATTTTTGCAGCTCAATTACCTCACATCGGTGTATTCTAATTACAGGAAGCAATACGGAACTTACAATTCTATCGCTATAGAATGTATTCAAAAATAAACACCAATACATGGGATTTATTTAATAAAAATTCATAAAAAATATATATTTTAGGCAGAAATGAATATTATATACCCAGAAGTCATGGTAGAAGTACTAGTATTTTTTCCTATTTTTCAGAAATATGAATTTTTTAATTTAAGGACCTTGAGTTTGATCTTGAAAAGTTCGCAGTTTACTTCCCCACAGAACCGAGCAAATACACTCAGGAGTTAAGCTTTATTGTTCAGAGACAAGTCATTTGGACTATAATTGGATATTCTAAATACTACAGTTACCGGGAGATTTAAAATGTTGAAAAATTATAACAATTACTAACCGTTTCGGTTTAATAATTCGTTGCACACCGGCAAATAAGAGCAAGTAATTATTGAATTGAAATTGGTTATTAATGGTTTTGGAACGACTATGAAAAATGCTAGACAGTTCAAATTGAAATTATTTTTACATTAATAAAAATGCATGATAAAACTACTTATAAATATTTAGTTTATATATGAATATTCTAATCTTATTTTTATAAATACTCAATCAATGTGAGACTCGTCTTGATTAAGATCCGTATTTAAATATCTGTTGATATACATGTTGATTTGAAATTCTTTAAAAGTGCTGGCCAAGAGGTATTGAAATTATGAAGGAAATTATGTACAGAAACTGATCAATACATTAAATCAGTTATACTATTACCGTGATCATTTAAATCCATTGATTTCAAATTTTTCTAGGCCAGTTGACAACATAATTGCGCAGTTCATAAATAGTTTGTTTTTATTTTTACATACAGTTAAGGCGGCTAGTTTAGTCCAACTCCATGTTGAACTAAATCAGTTATTTGTAAACTACCAAAAAACAATGTTGGCTGTGCTAATCACTCTGCTTGTTTTGAATTCTTTAGGAGTGGAGGCCAAGTGGAGGACCCTAGAATGTAGTGCACCCGACAAAGAGACTGGTGAAATTTTGCTATGCAAACTTAAGATTATCAACCGGTACAGAAACTCGGTCAATATTGATTACAAGTTTAAGAAAGAAATCAATCAATTAACCGTGAGTTATAAATCCACACAATCTTCGGAATAATTATTTAATAAATTCTTACAGTTTCGCTTAGAATTTTTTAAAAGAGCAAATGGCTGGCGGCCCTTCTTGTACAACATTTCTACGGACGGGTGCGACTTTCTTAGCAATCGCAAAAACCTGATCCTTAATATTTGTTTTAATTACGTAAGGCCATATCTTGCCAAAAATTATACCTGTCCTTTTAAGGTGAGTAATAAATACCATTTTCCACAATTATTAATTATAAAAATTACAGGCGAATGAAAACATGAAACTCGACAATTTTGAATTTGATATAAATCAATTTCGAAGCCGTTTTCCCATCGAGACGGGCGAGTATGCTGTTCATACGAGTTTTTTTAACCGCCAGAAACTATTATTGGCAGTTAAAACAACGTTGGAGTATTCCAATTATAAAGAAAACTAAAGAATACAAATTATTTTCAACAAAATAAATTAAATATTGAATGTGAATTGATTTTAGTTTATATTGAGTCAGTGTTCTGGGTACAATGTTCTGCCAAAAATTATTATACAATCTTCAAGCACAATCAAATATTTAAAACTACCTTTCTAACATATTGAATTGTCAAAGAGTAATAATATATTATAATCTAAAGGAAAATTAAATTCGTATCAAAAGGTAACAAGTATTTTGATTTACTATGTAATATCACAAAAATGTTAAATTTCAAAAATTAGCAATAAAATACAGAAGTATTGACGTTACTACGCTGAATTTAAACTCGCTTGAATGAACAGTCGGAAATAGAAAAAATGAGTTCGGGAAAATAATGTGTGATTAGAGTTCTAAAATGAAATGCGGCACAAATGGCCAAAGCAAATCAGGGCATGGCAAACACGGACTGAAAGTGGGTAAAAGACCAAAGAAAACAAAAACCAGGACTTTGACACAATAATCAAACGACGAGTCCTTTGTGTGTGTGTCTGCAAATGAAAAACAAGTGAAAAGCAAGGGCGGACTGTGGGCGTGGCAGCGTCAAATTAGGCCCAGTGTTATCTAATTAGCCACCTACAGGATGACACCTTTCTCGCTCCCACCTTTTCGCCCTCTCTCTTTCTGGCCTTGTGTGAAGTGGTGCCAGGCGCCGGCCATCATATTTTGCAATTTAACTCACACGAAAAGATTGTTGTCGGCCCTTTTCTTTCGTTTTCAGCCACTTTTTTTCACTCACTTCTGGCACTCACTATTTTATCTTTTTATTTTTTTTTTTGGACGCGCTCAAGTTTCATAACAACGGAAATGCAAAAGTTTTGTGCAAAACAAAGCGCCAACTTTTTTATTTCTCTTGGCAATTATGTGCTCAAGGAAAGAGACAGGGAAACGGACTCAAATAATGATAATGAAGCACACAAGGCTCGGCCAAAAGGATTTTTGAAGAAAAATGCACAAAAAGTGGAAAACGAATTGTAACGCTTTTTGTGATTTTTTTTAGATTTTTTTTTTGTGACGGAACTTGCATGCAAAAGTATCTCTTGGATCCACATGTGTGTGGGGGTAATTTGTTTAATTTGCTTGCCTTTCGGGCGAAAAAAAAAGTGATAGAAGACCTCACCGAAAGGCAAATTTCGTGGCTTTATTTCAGTTTTATTTTTTTTATTTTTTTTATTTTCCTAAAGGTTGGCCGCCTTTTAGCTAATGGCCATGGGCGAATATGATAGGATAACAGGAAAAACAACAACGGGTACCGAAAAACTAAAGCCAAACTAAATTAAAATATTTTAAATTCAGAGCTGGCAAAAGTTTTATCAATAAAATGCAAGCGGGCAAAGTCGTCTGTTTGCTGATTTTTTTGGCCTCTTTGCTTTTGCATTTGTTTAACTGCAAATCAGATAGAGATCTTCCAAATGTCTGCATTCAACACACATGTGTACACATGGTGTGGCGGCCGGCAATTGAAACATCAGCAATACTTGAGCTTTTCAATATGTCGAGAACTCAACAGCTCAACACCCCCACAAAACGAGATGTTGCCTTTGGCCATAACTCGAATCTGGCTTAAAAATCACTTAGACTCTTCTCCCTTCGTTTTGGCCCGTCAGCAGAATCGCCAGCCAAGAGGCCAAGACGACACTCATGTATCGAGTGCAATAATCATCACCAGCTCTCCCCCACGAATTTCCCAAATGCCACTTTTTCTGTGGACCTCAGCACATTGCCCGTTTCCCAGGGCGTTGCTCGCCAATCGTTTTCGAGTTGTCAACTTGGCTAATCTGCACTTGGATCTCGGAGGAATTGCACGAACATTTATTAAGCTTTGCCAAAATGCGTGGGCAGGGACATGAAATAGTTGAAAAGGCTGAAACCATTGCTAATCGGAGGGGGTTTAGTGCTGAAAAATACACTTTCAATGTCTTTTGGGATAATTCTTAGTAAAGGAGAAGGCTTTTAAAGTATTTAATATATATACCACGTATGTGATATATATTTAAAGAACTAAGCTTTTATTATTAAAGACTTAAACTAAAACTGTACATACACACATCGACGGTAGATAATTCAACTAATAAATGTAACACAATAAACTTAAAAAACATCAAGAGTTAATAAAATAAATTTGTGTAATGGAACTTACTGAAATTCCAAAAGCAAGAAAATAATTCTTAAGTTAAGTTGCAACTTTCAATTGGCTTCAATTGGAATCATTGAAAGTCTTGAGCACTTTACGCCCAAACGAATTGATTTGTTTTCAATTTTTTGTGTTCCTTAGGAAATCATTGGGCCGGTCGCCACTTGCCGAAGCTCAAGGAAACTTTCTGATAACTCGTAACTTGTTACTCAGCACACACAGCGCTAATGAAGACGGCACACAAGCACACACCCCTTGTTGTTTTGTGTTTATTTTGCCCTGGCCAAGAGCAAAACACCGGACACCAGGGAGCAGCAGACTGATTCGGGTGTGAAAATCAATGGCATTCACAGCTGAGTGCAGCTGAACCCCCGAGGGGGTGGTCAAGACGCTTCTCGATTTAATTGAATAATTGTTAGGCAAGCCACGTTCGCCGAATTCCTGGTAAATCAGCAAAATTTTTCGAAACTAAACAAAAATAGAAAGCAACCCAAAAAACTGGCCCCAAAATAGGCAACAAAGACGGGATACAAAAGCTGGCGAATCTTCCGCCGAGGAGACTGCGTCAGGCTTTGTTTTTCGGTCCCGATGCAAATGCACCTGCAACAGCAACTCCTGCTGAAAACCCCGCTAGCAATTTATGCGCCGCATTTGAAATTCGGTGATACCAAATCCTGGAGACTTACCGTTCCCAAGTGGCACATTCGTTTGCGTTGTTGTCGATTGTTGCTGCTGCTGCTCGGTTGTCACCGCGTTGGACAATTTATTTGATGTTGTCGTTGTCGCTGGTGCTGCTGTCGTTGCTGTTGTGGTTGATGTGGCCTCTAGCTTGCTGCCTCCATTAATGGCCAGTGTGGTGGCGCTTTTCCCCAGCCTCAGTATGGTGGTGGCCGTCGATGATGTTGCCGATGTTGCTCCTCCGTTAGTGCCTGTTGTTGCTGCCGCCGCCTTGAGCTTGTGCAGCGCTCCCGCCACGCCCTTGGCCGCCTTCGTGGTGCGTGTCACACTTAGAATACTTGAGGTGGCAAGGCTATTGCCATTTGGCGGCGAAGTGGCCATGGAAGTGTTGGTTACAGAGGAAGTGGCCGAAGAGTTTCGTATGACCAGTATGGATTGGGACTTCTCCAGACGCTTCAGCGTTTGCAGCACAAAGGGGGACTTGCTGTCACAGTTGCTCTCGGAACTGAGACTACGAGAGGCCTGTAAAAAGTGTTTAACAAAGTCAATAAATAGTTTTAGCCAATAAGAAGAAATCCTCTTACATGTTTCAGCATAAAGGGCCGCTCCACCAGCTTGGTTTGCGTGGCATTCGCCTGCTTGGAACGCTCCTGGGCCTTTAAAACGCTCTCCAACTGGCTGGCATTGATGGGCGTTTGTAGGAGGATCGTGTTGCTGCTGGCCTCCTTGTTGTTGCCGCTCGCCACAATAGAAATGGTGGAGTTGCTACTGCTGCTGCTGTTGCTGCTGTTGCTGCTGCTGCCACTCGAGCTCTGCACAATGGTCTTCCTAGCCACCGTTGTGGCTGTTGGCAGTTGATTGAGCGTGATGGCCGTGGACGAGTGGCCCTTCTCCTGCTGCTGCTGCTGTTCGCTGAGCAGGCTAAGTATGTCCTGCTTGTTCTGGATGATAATCTGGCCATTCTCGTTGCGAGTGCCGCGCAACAGGATAATGTTGCTGCCGTTCGTTGACTGATGTTGCTGCTGCTGCTGCTGTTGCTGCTGTTGCTGCTTCTGCTGTTGCATGGCCCCGATCTTGAGCTTGGCCGCTCGCAGAGTCGTCGTTGTACTGGTTGCTGCTGATGCCTTTGCTGATTTTGCTTCATTGCTGCTTAGCTTGCCGCTGCTCTGCGATCGGATTAGGACATTTTTGGAATTTATTTGGCCTAATGGACATGAAAAACGTGAAAATAAATTAGTAAAGTGTTTTGGGATGATCATCACTTAAAGACTGTTGCCTTGGATAGGACAAATTTTAAGTTATAGTTTATGAAAGTTATGTAAAATGGAATAAAATAGTAACCTGGCTCTCTTGATTTTTAAAAGGGTTGTGATGTATTTCTGTTTACCAATATTTTGTTCAAAAGTGTAAATAAAACAAGTTATTAAGCAATGGAAACTGAATCTACAATTGTAAGCAAAATAAAGTTACAAAGGTAATACAAATACTTAAAAATGCACGTTTACTTAAAAAATCTGATCTAAAATCGTGATACGCCATGTATGATTTAAGTGACTTTTGAAACGTTTTGTTCTCGGTTTCTAGACCACATTCTTGAATTGAGCAATTTACTGTGGCCCCAAAAAGCCGATAGCCCCATTGTATGCAGATTCAATGGAAACTTCATGAGCGGCACAAGATTTATGACTCCATCTCGATCGAGTGCCGAAAGCTTTGCATTAGAAGCGCATGTGACAGAGCAGGAGGCGTGGTTCCATTGTTGCACTTTCCCAGGGCCCCAAAAAAAAAGGAAAAAGGGGCTTCGAGCATTACGTATACGCGGCGTATGCCTAGAGCGGTCAGTGGCTCGGACACTCTATTTTGTTGGCCAACAATTGGGGAGGACGGGGGGCATCCAAACGCTAAATCAAGCGAAAGACGACATGTTTATGGCAGGGACGAAGGACTACTTAGCCGAGGAACCCCGGCACAAAACGCAATAAAAGTGCAACAAACAAACAGCGAGTTCCCAGCCAAGAAAGGAGGAGAAAGTAATGGGGGTTGGTTTGGAAAGAGGGTCTCAAATTCAGGGGTTGGGGAGGGAGAGGGTCTCCGCCCTGCATGCGTTGCCAAATATAGACTCTCAAGGCTGAAGGCGACACGGAACGTAAAGTGCGCGCCGGAAACATTTCAAAATGTAGCCTAAACACTTGTCCGGCTCCCCTGCTTTTCCTCCCTCCCCTGAGTTTTCCACCCCCTTCCCGGTTTTCCACACCCCCAAACCATGTGTGTTTGTTTTTCGCAAAAACGTGCGGGTCATAATTAGCCGTTGACGCCGCCTTCAGCTGGCTGCTTTTGCAGGGAAAAGCGGAAAAGCGGGCAGGGGCAAGCCCCACATGCGACCATCTGACCCCAAGTGCACAAGTGTCTGCGCCCCCTTTCGCCTGTTTTCGAGTGTCTGTGTGCGAAAAGGTCGCCTGCCGCCAGGCAAAATAAACCGCCTGAATCGGACCAGGATCGGAATAGAATAGGTGGGGCTATGTCAGTTGGCTGGCCATCCATTCGGGCGCACATACTTCATTGTAATGTATGGCGGAGCAGCCACAACAACCCAGAGATCCGGGGACATGGGGATTCGGGGATCAGGGAGCCCCGTAACACATAAAACACTCTTGGCTGAAGCTTCGCATATTTTTGCGTTCGTCGCGGCTTTTGATGTGCAACGGCCCAACCACAGTGGATCAAAGTATTTTTAAACCAGGGTCCAATTGAAATTGTAAGGCTTTGTTATTCAAAATAATTATACATATATTTTGTTTTAAGAAAATTAACTTAAATAAGTTTATATCTATATCGTGAATGCAATATTTTTGTAAAATCTTTAATTTAAATGTTTTTAATTTGGAAAGCGGATACAAATTTTGTGTTCTTAAAAACTGAAGTCTCCAATGATTAAGTTTTTTTTACCCACATTTTTTTTAGCAGTAAGTCTTAATTTATTATAATATTTAAAAGAAAATTCTATCTAATCTAATATTCGGTAACATTTCAGAACGTAAAGTTTGGAAAGCTGTTTAATTTTTTTTAAGTTCACATTTTTTGGTAGACACTTTTGGTCAGAATTATTCTCGTATTTTGCCCCACTGTGCTGTTCCACGTGCTCTACACTATTTGTTGGGCAGAGGGGGCTAGGAGCTTCAAAAGTTTCTGGGTAGCTGGACAAATTGCAAGTCTATTGAATTTTTATTAGAAGCATAAATCAAAAGAGCGTTAGATAAGCCAGCTGGGGAAGGAGTTCGATAAATATGTCAATAGATTCTACACATAGATTGCCGCCAAAGGGTTAAGAAAGAGGACAAATCAAAGATGAGTAAATTTCATAATTTTCAAGCACTTATAATGGGTGAGTACATATCAACTGTAGTAAATAACTTTTGATAGGGTTTATCAATTTATGGTTGGGTCATTTGATCTGGCTCACCTGATTCTGATTCAACTGTTGTTAATTTTTTAGTTTATCAGACCGTTAGAAGTTAATTAACTTTTTCAATAATGACATTGAATTAATCTATTAAATGATTAATTTTAATTTTCTTGAATTTGGAAACCATCAATTTCTACAAGAACTACTTTATTAAATGAATTAACATGTTTAAAATAAATCTGATAAAAAATAATTATTTTAAACAAGAAACTCCAGCGCGGCAAGACGATTTTAATAGACGGAGTTGCCATATTATGATAAAATCTAGATAACAGCTGATTGTGTCTATAGGAATTTTCGAACCAACGTTCCTATCTTTTTTTAACCATTGTAACGCCGCAAAATGATGAAAAATTATTGGTATTTAAGCGATACTGGAAAAATCGTAATACTTGACTACTGCCACCAGTGGGTTAATGGCTCAAAGGAACCCCCAACAACGTGAAAACAAAACGCAACGCAAAGCGAAACACAACAAAACAAAAACTAATTGGAAAACCAATATGCGAGGGAAACGGAGAATCCGTAATCGAAGAGAGCATGGTTATCAGGTCGAAAATCGGGAGATACGGGGCTATATATATGTATTTACGAATATTGAGCAGGAAGCAGGGGAGTTGGGGATTACTTACTTTGGAGTTTCAGTGTGGAAGAAATAGAATTAGAAGAAGAAGACGAAGCGCTTGTGGAAATATCGAGCACATTTTCCATGTGCGCAGCTTTAGCAACCAATTTTAGAATGCACTACTTTTTAGCGAATTGGCACATTTATTTATTTTATTTTATTGAGAATGCATTTCCATTTTTGCACACCAGCTCACACCCACACACACCCACGGGCACTCGCACACGCACACAGTGGCACGGAAATCGCAGAACTCTGGGGTATCGAAAAAAGGTAAACAAAACTTTTTCACTGCCTCCGTGTGCGAAATCCGTAGAGTCCTCCGGCGGATTTTGATGTGTCCCAGCTGGCCGATGCATTAAATGCAATAAAAAATCAATAATATCACCGTTTCACACACGAAATTATTAAAAAAAAACCATAGCGAAAATATTTTGAGTTACTCCAAAACTGTGTGCATGTCAAACTGTGCGCAGTGTTGGATTATGCTGGTTTTGTAGCACTGCTGGCCATCGATAAATAAATCGATAATTGGAGATGCCAACTTTTTTTAAGTGATTGTTATGCACTACCGCGGTTTTTTAAAAAACATTTCGAACATTGAATTTGTATTTGTTTAACAAGCCCCTTCTAAATGTTTGGGACCAACACAATAACAGAATTTATATTGAAGAAATATTTTTATTTGAATATTTTAGAGTGCGTAGTTGATAATTCAGAATGTAACTGTTTTTATATTTATATTTTTTCTTTAACTTTTTTGTAATTTATTAACATATTAACTTACAAAATTTTTTGTTAAAAAGGTTGTTATTTCATTTTAAAATCTTTATATTTAATTCAGCCTAGGATCGATGACTCATGAAGAATGAAAATTAATTTGTAAGTTAGATTTAGTAACCAGTTTTATGTATATTGTACAACAATTTAACAATAATTTTATCTTGTAAGTATTACTTTTTATAGCGTGATATATTGAATTAATGGCATGTTAATGGGTTAATCATTCTATTAAAAACCACCTCTTGCCTTTTAACTTCCTTTGCCAGTTCTCGTTTTATCCCTTAATGAAATTTAACCTATTAATATTTTTTAAAAAATTAGTTGATATTAAATATTTGTTTACATAACGATGTAATAAGTTTGTTTATGTGAGATATAAAAATCTCTTAAGCAGTTGTGTTATCAACACAAATAATATCAGCCCTTTTTTTCAATAGACGCCGATTTCCGCCAAACTTTCCTTGGACTTTTCCAGCCCCCGACTCCGCGGTTTTCCGCCCCTTGTAAGCCCCCCGCCCCCTCCCTCGGCCAACGGAAGTCTCGGGCTCTATCAAAATCAACGGGCGGCGACTGAAGCGAACACAGAATAATTGCTGTAGCTGTGTGCCAGTGCCAGTCAGTGCCAGTTCGAAATCGACGACAACATCAGCAACAAGCATTGCAACAACAGCAGCAACACGTTGATAAGTCCGCTGTATTGCCGCTGGCTTGTTATTTTATTGTCGCTTTTGTGGCACATTGAAAATAATACACAAAATAATTGAATTACTCGAAATGTGTGCCTGCCCGTATGCGTGAGATTTACGTTTGTGTTTTGTGTTTTTATTGGGGGCGTTCAGGGCCCCGCTGATAAGCAATGATCAACAGCTAAACGAGATAAGCGCTGCTCATTTGCATGCACAGGGGAAATCCCCAAGGATGGACCATCTGTCACTCAAAAAGTTTCAGTATTTGGTTCAGAAAAGTACCCAATTACTGTCGGAAAGCCTTAATTGATCGATAGTCAATTGTACTTTTGTCAAGATTATTAAAATATATTTAACTTATTATTAATTTGTTTTTACATTCCAAATTATTATGATACTTACTATCGATCTATCTTATACAAATTTCCGGAAACTTCAGCTCTTTACTTTTACTTTCTTCTCATAAAGTCATTATCTTAAATGTTCAAAAAATAAAAATGTACTTTTATTTGCCAAAATTATAGGTTTAGCTTATACGCTCATTTGAAGTACTACTGTTTTCTATTCAAAATAAGGCTTGTTCTCATACCTATAAATATTAAATGGGAATTAATTTTAATTTGTACTAATAATGTAACATAATAGATGCCATAAAAAATTTATTTGTGTGAAAGAATAATGTTTATATTTTTAATCTTGTTCTAATGAAGGAATTTTAACCGTAGTAGCCCCTTTAATTTTCTTCGATTTACTACATGTGTTCGCTGCCCAACGACTTGTGATAAGGAGCGGGAGGTGGAAACGTGACTCTCGGTTGGGCGGGCATCGGCACGTAAATTATGCTGATGACACCGGCCCGCACCCAGGCTTTAGTTTAAAAAGCTCAAAACTCAAATGAAAACCAAGCGATTGCGCTTGAAAAATACCAGCACGTTCCTACGAGCTGCAAAGCAACAAGAATAACTGGCTTCGGCTGCCATTTGATCGTTGCACACAAATATTTACAATACCATTTAATGACATTTTGCCTTATAAAACAATGAGTAAAAAAAGTGTTTTCTGGTTTTATGCATTTTATTTGGTTAATTGGGCCTTTGAACTCTATTGCGACGATGATGATGAAAACGACGCCAAGATAAAGTCATGTGCGACGAAACTTGATTTAAGACAAAGGCTCTGACGACCCCTTCAGTCCTCCCTCTCGCCAAACATCCGCTGTCAACGCCCTCTTGGCGACGATAACAATTTTTGAAGCGACTCCAATCAAATTGCAATTGTTAATTTTTAAAGGCCATGATAATTTGCGAATAAGGGGCCGTTCTAACGCCCCCACAATAAGTGCACGAGGAATAATGTTCAGATTTCTAGGATAGCTTGGCATTCTATTTTTTTGAGAAGGGTATAGTACTATAGTATATATACCAACTACGAGGCATTAATGTTTATTTAATTTTTAAAGCACAGAACTAAAAAAAAAGCTGGCACTTAGAAAGGTACTTAAATTAAAAACTTTCTCAATTCGGTTTTTAGTATTGTACAATTTGTTGAAACTCGAACTAAAGTAAATGAATGTTAATACATAGTTATGTTGATTTAGTGATTATATATTGAGCAGTCAATATTACATGACATTTTGGGGAATCCCTATAAATCAGATCCAAATTAACCTTACCATTCCCGTGCGTAAGCGTGCACTACCCTGTTGCTCACCAGGAAAAATCTCTCAATGAAAAGAAATTCGGAGTTTTCCTTTTGGCCGGCGGAAGGGAAACTGGTAATAAAGTTGCAGCGGGAGAGAAAATACCAATAATAGCTGCAATATTTGCTGTCAGCGACGCAGCGAGCGGCCTCTAACTGTAAATGGCCAATATTGAGCGGGAGAGGAAAGCCAAAACAGGAGCTTAAAGTCAGTTGGAGAGATAAAGTTGAAAAAAGAGATCGCAGTGACAGAGAGCGGGTGTGGGAAACAGTGGCTTATTTGTAGATGGCAACGATACGACAAGGAGAGCACGGTGGGCCAAACAACACTGACGGTGTGGTAAATACCCAAAAATTAAACTGTTACTTAGGTGATAGATTTGGATTTATAAAATAAAATGAGAAAAGTAGCATTTAATTTAATAAAAGCAAACTGCTTTTCGTTTTAGCCCCATTACCAGTTTAAAACACTGGTCCATATCAGTTACCTAGAAACCAAATAACCATTTAATCCCAAGTACCAGAAACTATTTGCGGAATTTTAGCTTTCACGCCAATTTAATTTGCTAAATGGCTCGTCCATTCCACGGTGCCTGCATCCAAACTTAAACTCCAATTGCAGTTGCCCCACACATACACACACATGCCCCTCACGCACACACCTTTATGTCAAGCCGGTTTTTTAGAAGGTGGACGAAGAGGGTGAGATGGCGAGGGAAGGGACTGCAGTCAAAATGTGGCAAAATGGAAAAGGAAAATGTGTACTGGAAAAATGCAAGGCATGCAACAAAACAATAGCAACGCCACAACAGCAGCAACAACATCAACGACGGGGCAGCAAATGACGCCAACAATAATCAAATCCTGGTACATTATTATACGCTCGACTTGGGGAACCAGTTTTATTGCAATTTGTATTTGAAGCGGCCAAACAGCCCCAGAAATTACGTATCACGAAAATAAATATATTTTTCTCGTAGCTGCTGCTTCTTCTTCCTTGTCTTTTGCGGCTAATAACAAATACAACAGCAATGTTGTGTCTTTGTTTTTACGTCAGGCCGAGATTACAAACACAAGCACAGACCCAAACCAGGTTACATCTGTGTGTGTTGGCGCACTTGCCCCATCTGTTGTTGTAATTTTAATTGGCCAAAAGCATTTCGGTGGAATCTCGAGATATTGCCGTATGTTCTGGAAATTGTGGAAAAATCATTTTTCTGGCAAAATGTAAAACAATTGAACAGCAACAGGTAAACAAGCAAAAATACCCACACACGCACACAGTCGTATTACTAAGCTGGACATATGGTTGTATGAGATTGAGGCTCCAACCGCAAAAGAGAAAACTACAGTTGATCACCTACGCTGGAAATTTTCGGTCTTTCGAGTGAGTTGTGTTGAATTCAAGTGCAGTTGCCCTTGGTTGATGGTATTTAGTCTCCTGTCTTCAAGTATTTATTTTTTTAACAGCAACCTTTGATTGTTTTATTATACAGAACAATCACACCTCCAGTACATTCAAAATTAAAGACAAGTTAACATACTAAAAATACTGTTGATTTAAAGTGGCTTCAAAGCATTCAAAAGATAAAAGTTTTAAAAAGAACCTTCAGATTAATACAAATCTTTAAGCTAACAATAAATTTTGTATTTTTTGAAACATAGAATGCTTAAAAATATTGCAGTCCTATAAGAAGTAACGATTAATTATTAAATTTCATAATACAACATTAATCGGGAAAATTATTTGATTTGTTAGCACCTTTATAAACTGTGTCGGTTTCTGTTCTTTATATGGTATATGGTATATACAATTAAAGAAATGTTACTTAGATCAGCTGATGATTCACTCAGTGTAGGGTAACCTGCTTCCCCCTGGCCGACCACCTGTTCAATAACTTGTTTTACATCTGTAGTCTCTCTCTCTGTTTCCGAAGTGCATCCAAAACGAAGAGCTGGAGAGCGGGCCGATTCCGAGTCCGACCGCGCAGCTGGAAGAGCCGTGTTTTGGTCGCACTAGTGACTAGTCAGTCAGTTTGTTGGTGGGCGCGTGATCGGTAAATCGAAGTAGCGGACCGTGAAGGTGCAGAGGATTTTCCACATAGCACTGTTGTTGTCGCTGGTCGTTGTTGTTGTTGCTGCTGCTGTGTTATCGTGTAAATTTGCGCAGTTCAGATTGAAAAGAAGAGAGAGCAGAAAACCGTTGTATTTGTAACTCTCCCTTCCCTACCAGCATCCCGGCATTGTTGTTGTTTTAGTGATTTTCGCCTCGCGTGTAACTAAAAAATAAGAAGTAATACAATCAATTGCACTAATTTCTTCAATCAACGGACAAGGCGAGCATAACGAGTGAAACTAGCGAAAATTGTTTGGCAGGCAGCAAAAGTAAGTGAGCTATTAACTAAAGCAAAAGTCGCGCTTTAAAACGTAATTTTCTGCAGAGTCATTAACGAAAGGCAGGTCAAGAGAGAGAGAAAGAGACAGAAGAGAAATGAGGGGGCGGAATGTAAAATGAGAGAGAGAGAGCAAGAGATCAAGACAAAGTCTTTGTTTAATTTTAATGGTACTGGAAAAAATTAAAATTACAAATCACCATTACTCTCTTGCTCTAATCTTTACAATTGCTTATCTCTCGCGCGGTCGCTCTTTCTTTCTCCCGCTCTCTCAAGTGAATTAAACGAAACGAAACGACTTGAAAAAGTTGGAGCCCAGCTTTTTTGTTGTGCTATTTCGCGGCTGTCTCCCGTCGCGTTCGTTTGTGTTTGGCGCCGTGGCGCTCCAGAAATAGCGGTGAATTGTTGTGCCTGTGCCTGCACCTCCTTATCCATCCCCACATACATCTCCTTCCACTTGTAACGGTAGGCGTGCGTGCAGAAAAGAAAAAGGAGATGAAGAAAGCCAAAAGCAAAAGTGCTCGAAAAGCAATTACAATAACCACTGAAATTAACGTTTTGTGTGCCAGTGTGCCTAATGAAATCCCATGTTGTGTTTATTACGCCTTGCAACACTCGTACACTGAAAGAAATGAGATGATGTTATATTAACCCCGCATTTTAAATAGATATGTACACAATTTTAACGATGAAAAAAATATGTGTAAGATGTGCAGTTAAAAAAAGTTATTGCAGTTGTTTTCCGATTTTCATTTGGCTAAAAAAAATGTATTGGAGAGAGATGGGATCTAAACCAAGTCCTTTATTACCAAACAAGTGTAGAATCATTTCAATACAATATTATTTACACACTATTATTGCATTAATATAAGACTAGTTTTTTTCTGTGTACACTTAGAGAAATAGTCACGCACAATGCCAAATAAACACGCAAGGTCCGCGTGTCCCAGCTTCTCAGCTTCGGTTTCTGCTAATTATGAAAGTTGAAAAAACCACCGACGCTTTATTTGTTTGTTTTTGTTAGCCTTGTGCAATGCCTTGTGTTGGCCAAACACCTGTTGAATGCCGCCTTACAAAAAAATGGCTGCAAAGCGGCAAAGAAAGTGTCTGGCCAGCATGAAAAGAAAATGCCTGAAACACATGGCAACATAAAGCCATAAAACAAAAATTTAAAAACATTGTCAGCAAAGAGAGTGGAAATGGAGAAGCGAAAATGGTTCACAATAATTTCACAGTCAGTGCGCAGGCCCAATTGAATTTGAATTTCGAGCTTCCCCTTTTTCGGCCCTTTTGTCCACATTTTCTTACCGCATTTGCATATCTGATGTGTACTTTACGACTTTGTCTAATCTCAGTCGCTGGCAATCTCAGTAATTAGTGGTGGCAGCTTGTCTGTTTCCTAGCCAAAACTTGTTCATTTTAAGAGGTCGTAAAATGCACTATTAATGATCGAGGTGTTGCAAATTCATGAGAATTTATGGGCCCATAGTAACTTTGCTTTGCAAACTAAAAACATTGTTTATTTTCCATATATAACATAAATTTCTTACATTTATTAAATTTTCATTAAAATTATATATATTTAACTAAAACTCTTACTTACATGACGAAATTAAATAATAAATAAAAAATGTTTTATAATGCCTTAACTCAAGAAAACTCACAAAAAAGGCAGAAGACCCCTTTCCTAATAAATACAGTTTTGTTTACTTCTCAAAGTAAACGAAACCCAGGCTCGAGTTAAATAAATATTCCCATATAAAACGCCCTCTAAAAAGCTGATTGCAAAGTTCTAAGAAACCCCTCTATTATCTGCACAATTTCTGTAACGCGACAGCCATAAAGAAATAGTGTCAAGTTGCTCTCGTCCGCTAATATCAATTTAGACGACATATAGCCCGATCTGGTACGCAATCTGCATTCCAAACGATGCGGGAAGGATTGTGGGGCGGAATCCATAAGTACGATGAGATGCGGAGAATTACTTCCGCGACTAGGCTTTATTTTGTTAGTTTAATATATACATACATATGTGCGTTAAGATGTACGGCGTACATAAACATATGCATATCTGCGGCTTAGTTGTCGACATTATCTTTTGTTCGTCGTTTGAAAAGTACGTGTAGTTGTTGGGGTAATTGCGCACAATTGCTGGGGGAATAGGGTGTTTCGGGTCTTTGTTTTTTTTTTAGCTACGAAAGCGAAGCGTTGTGCTATTTTCGAATTTTGTATTTTATAACCCGGGCTGTCGTCATCGGCGTCGCTCGCCGTTTTTGGCCAATTTAGCTTTCGCTTTTGTGCGATTGCCTAACGAAACCCCCATTCCCAAACCCCTATCACACTCCCCTCCTTTATGGCCAACTCCAAAATAAATCAAACTTATAAAACACACACATGCAAAAGCGAAACAACGAAAAAGAGAGCTAAAACAGCAGAGCTTCATTAATTTTTTGCAAGATTTTTCTTAATTATGAGACGGCACGAAATGTGAGAATTGCACAAAAGAACTCACAAAAGATCCGTTCGTCACATCATCTCTGTCCACAAGGTGTGACTTTGATCCGATGTGAGCTCAGCTTAGCTTAGCGACTTTGTTCTAATTTCGGTTTATGTTTTTTTTTGTATTTGTGGTTTTTATTTCTGAGAAACTGTTGCCTTATTGTCTTTGCACAATGACGTCCGTTTGAGTGCAATTTTACATTCATACACTGCGTTTCGTAACTGTTAGAGTGGAGCTTAAAAAAAACCAGAAACTCCAAAGCCTGAAATATTGATAAACCAGTAATTTTACGCCCTGAAGAATTTCACAAAATATATGACTCATTGGTTAATCTGTTGTTACATATAGTCACTCTTATTTATTGAGAAAGCGTTTAAGTGAACTCATAATTGATAATGATTTAAAAAATGAACATACAAATTTCCTTAGTTTTATTTTGTAAAGTTTTGTCAGAGGGTGCAAACGGAATTGTGAAACTAAAAAAATTAATGGATTACTTTTCATTTATTGTAAACACTCAAATGAAACATTACTCTAAGCTCGAGGATTCCCAAAATATGAGGTTTTTTTGTTTTTTATTACAATTTAAAAACTTTAAATTAAAAACAATTAATCAGTGCTTTATAAAAAAGCTGGTTTCGCTTTGTTGTCGATTTGAGAGATCATTATTAAGAGGTGCCAAAATTATTCTCTCAAGGTTGATAAATACGTGAATTAAATTTCCTGGAATCTCGGTTTTTTTCTACACAATAAAAATGGTTTTAAGCTTGATTTAGAGTATTTAACTTTTTTTTTCTTTGTGTAATTCAAATACCTGCTGTGTGTGTATTTTTATAGAAATGTCTAGGTCCAAGTGCACCGATGTCGACAGCTGACGGAGGCAACAGGTTTAAGTCTGCGGTGACGCAGATGCCAATGGGATTGGCTTTCATGGATCCGAATCCCCCCTTCTCCGCAGTCAGGCATTGTATATTCTTTGCTGTCCCTCTCTGTGAACACGATTTGCAATTAGCCAAAAGAATACATTCAGATTCAGTTGGTTGTATAACAATAATTAGCAGTACAGCGGCAGCTGGAATATGTATGCACATTATATTTTATAATCGAGGGATTTGAGAGGAAAAACCCGGACGGACAAAGTTCAATTCGCAACTCATTTGTCAATTCCGATTCTACTTGTAGTTCACTTAAACTCTTAAAAACGGCGCCGACAACTACAATGCCTTATCAGCCAGCCAACAGCGGCGGGACGTCTGGCGGGAGCAAGGCGGCAACCAAAATGGCCCAGCTGAAGTTCTGGAACAAGCAGAACAGCAGCAAGCAGCAGCAGCAGGACAAAGACAAGGACAAGGACGCCGCGGACGGGGGCAACAACATCAGTGGCGGTACCGGCAACAGCAGCAACGGCGATGCCAAAAGCGAGGGGAAGAGCGGCAAGCGCAACTGGCTGCACACGCCGGAGCAGCTCATCAGCGGACACGCGGTCTATCTAGTCAAGGTGAGCGAGGCGAGGGACAACAGCCCATTTGTGACGACCTCGTTTGGTGGTATATAGCGAGAAAAAATCACAGTCAACTTTTGTTGTTTGTAAAATCAAAAATACCTTTACTCCAATCTCCAAAATTCCACACTAGATTTTTAATAGGTTTGTTATCTTAAAATGAAAAAGAAATCGATAATTATTAAAAGTTTTCCTTTCATTGTAAACCAGACATCATTGCGTATACTCAATATCAGATGCAAGCATTGCGTATACGCAATGTCATCAATTACTTTTCTTTTACATTCTAAAAATTAAAAATGTACTACATTGTTTATCTATCATGAGGAGAATGACGCTGATCAAAATTTTAATATTGTAAATGTATTATTTTTGTAACACTGATTAATTTAAATGTATTTGGAAAACATGCTATTCAATTTTATATTTTGTTTACCGATATTACATAGTAGATTTCAATATTATTTTTAATCATGCTGTAAGAAAACTTTTACTATCATAGCTTCAACATTCCAAATAGAATGTTCCGTAACCTACTATTTTTACAGCTAAGTTAAAACTATTTTTACTTCATAACTCGACCAATAAACTGCTATTACTTTGTAATTGAAGTTCCACAAGTAAAAGGGTTTAATGGAACAAGTTTTTTCCTGACAGTTAAAAAATTGTAATAGCTGGTTATTCTATGATGTAAAAGCTTTAACGAAAAATGGATAAATTTTATTTTGCTGCAAAATTAATTAAAAACTTGTTAAAGGGCCATTAAAAGTCTATGTAATAAATATTTTTGACTAATAGGTAAAATTAATCTCTTGAACAACTCATGAATAGGTGTGATGAAGAATATTTAAATATTTACAAAATATTTATTTCCTAACTAAATTTTTCTAACTCAATCCCGTTGTTTTCCTCTTTCAGTTCTTTGGTAACCTGAGCGTGGACCAGCCCAAGGGCATTGAGGTGGTGAAGGAGGCCATTCGGAAGCTGCAGTTCGCCCAACAGATGAAGAAGGCGGAAACAGGCACCCAGGAGAAGTTCAAGAAGCTGGAGATCACCATTAGTATCAAGGGCGTGGCCATTCAGGAGCCACGCACCCACAAGATCTTGCACCAGTTTCCGCTGTACAACATCTCTTATTGTGCGGACGAGAAGGGTGTGAAGAAGTTCTTTAGTTTCATTGCCAAGTCGACAAAGACGCGGGACGGTTGCGATCCGCAGACAAATGGCCATGCAAACGGAAATGGCGATGGTAGTGCCAAAGTGGAGGAGAGCCACGAGTGCTTTGTATTTATTTCAAACAAATTGGCCTCGGATATTACGCTAACCATTGGTCAAGCCTTCGATTTGGCCTACAGGTGGGTTAATTTGCGGTTTTATTTCTGCAATATCATTCAATAAACGATATAACTCTTTTTAATGTTAGGAAATACATGGACAGCACTGAAAAGACCAATCTGAGCAAGGCGCAGCAGCAAATCAATCATTTGCAGCAAACTGTTAACGCTTATAAGGAGCGACTGCGCGAAATTTCCGCCAAATTGCCAAAGGCCGAGCTGGATGCCCTGCTCTTTAATTTGGGCATTAAAGATGTTTTGGAAGCGCCTGTCACAGAGTTGCAGAACGGAATTGAGGTGGCTAGCGAAGCCTTGAGCAACGGAAAGCTGGGTAGGAGAATGTTTAATTATTTATCGCTACCAAACTAACTCATTAAATGCATTTCAGACGAAGACAAGCTGCTGATTGACACCAACTCCACCACGGCATCGACCCACTCGGTGTCGCCTAGCTCCTTCTTGCCCATTGTCCCGCCGCGGAACAATCTGTCTAGCCAGATCAGCATCGGCGGCAAGAGCAACAGCAACAGCCAGAAAATGGACGAGCTGTTGCTCAACTCCGATTCGGACAGCGATTTCGATCCGCGAGCGGATGAAATTCAGGACAACGTGAGCAATGGCCGGAATGCGATCAGCAACGATCTGTTTGGCTTTGAGCCGGCCAAGAGTTTTGGCCAGCAGCTGTTTGTTAACAACAACGATCACAGGCTGCAGAATAACAACACGAACAGCAGCTTACTGATCACTAGCAATAATAGTAGCATCAACAGCAGTGGCTTTTCCAGCGAGCTGAATATTACGCCGCCATTGTGTACGTATAAATATTTGTATTTTAAATGATTGGCTACTTGACTGATAATCTTTCAAAATCTTTCAATAGTGGCGCCGCCGCCAAAGATTGCTGCTCCCAGGCGCCTAATCTCGGTGACTACGGGCAATGGCCTTAATGGCAATACAGACCTTTTCGGTTCAGATCCCTTTGAAATGAACAATGGACCGACCATTTTCAAGGTGAGTTTGGTTGAACCTAATCTCTTTGAATTGTAATTTACTAATTGATATCCGTTACAGCAAAATCAGCTGAACCTTGATGACTTCTCGCTGGAGAGTTTGGATCCCCTGCGCAAGTAAAGCGGTGCTACCAAGGCCATTATCACTCTTTAACTTGATTTAAACTTTTGGACATCCTTTTGGGTTGTCACATCGTTTATTCTTCTACGTTTCTCCGTTTCGCATGCATTCCAATCCAATTGCAATTTGATTTATTTAATGTGTATTATTGTTTATATATTGTATTGTATTTATTATCATTGATTTTTGTCGATTTTATATTGCATATTATGATTTCTACTATTATTATTATAATTATAAATACGATTATTATCTGAAATCGAGATCAAAATAACACAACAACAAGCAATCGCAATGCACTTTGTTTAATCGTATCAATTTGTTGCTGTAGTTAAATAGATTAATTGATTGTCGAGAAAAGCGAAAGAAAAAATGTTGACAAGTGATAATGTGAAAAAATGCTAAACTGAATGTGAGAAATTTGTATAAAATAATTATAAAGATGTAACCGCAGGCAAATAAATCGTTTATTGTATAGAGCCGAAATACGAGGAGAATCAAAGCAAAATGAACAATATTTAATGTTATCGATGCAATATAGAGAAATATTATTATTATTATTGTGTATGTAAAGAATAAAATGTAGTGCTTAAAAGAAAACTCAAACGCTTGATCTTTAACAATTTGCATTATTTATTATGCATCCATTTTTTTCAAATAACAACACGATAACTACACGTTACTGCCATGAATACAAATTTGAGTTGCTTCTGTTGTTGCTGCAGTTCGGGAATGTTTGCCTAGGGCTAGTGATATATTTCGAGATTTGAATATCCAACAGTCGCTCTTCCTGAATCTTTCTGTTTCCTAAACCTGAGTAGCGGTTGCCAGAGCGCTTCCTTCAAGCGTCCTGAATTAGGTCGCAGCGTTTTGGTATGCTGGCCGACAGCTGGCGTGCATTCATATCCGAGCTCTAGAAGATCAGAGAGTTTTGTAAGCTTAGTGGTTACCCTGTGTGGCGAGAAATCAAAACCAAAGAACTGCAAACGCATCTGGCCCGGATACAGTCTTATAAATTCTTTAAAAAACCATATAAATAACGCCAACGATTGGAAAAGTTCTGAAAGAAATCATCAGTGGAGAGTATATAAGTAAAGAAAAGGGCAAACGAAAGTAACATAAATGCCATAATCGCTTAGTTGGGAATAAAATGTTATACAAGGAAACAATAATATGAAAAATGCAAGTGTAAGTAAATCCAATAAAATATCAAAAATATTATTGGTTTCGGAGAATTTAATTCTTTCGAATAAAACTTAAACATAAGTAAAAAAATCATTAACTTTTGGTGTATACGTTTCAGTTTATTTTTTTAAACTTTTATAACTTAAACAATAAAATTAAATAGTGTGCTCAAAAAGATAAATGTATTTTGACATTGCATGCAGTTCGGGCTATAGCCTATATAAAATCCAAAAATTACAGCTAATTTCGTAATTGTTTAAAAACATCTGTTTACGTTAGAGTATATATGTTTTTTGTGTATATATTAATGTATGTATAAATATGCATCGAATTTGATTGCTATAAACGTAATTATAAAGCCAAGGGCGCTGCGCCACTCGCTCCCCACAAAAAAACTAAACAAAACTTCAGCCCGCTTTAAAATGGGCAAAAATGTTTGTGGAATGTCAAATGTTAAATGACAATATTTTAAAGCCGTTTTCGAAAAAAATCGGATTGGGGGAGTTAGGGCTCATACAAACATAATTCGTATTCAACATTACATTAAATTAAACAATAAATAAACACTTTCATTTGACTGGGTTGCGGGTACGGGAAGTGGGTTGCTTGCTTGCTGGGATTGGGTTTGATTGGTTTGAATTGAATCGGTGCAGGGTGGCGCAAACTCTTTACACAGCCAGGCGGGTTCGTTTCATTTTTCATCGCATTCTCTTTTTTTTTTTTTTTTAGCTTTTTGGCATTTCACACGTCTACTGGCTGACAGCGCTCGTCTTCTTCTTTTTGGCGTATTTTACCTGATTAGACCAGTCACCCGTGGGCACGGTGGCGCGATAGAACTTTGAGCTTGTCTTGTTGAAGATCGGCAGCAATTCGTTTGCCTCGTCGGACAGAGCCTGCAAAGTAATTGAGATGTTGTTTAACAAGGTTGAAGAATAATTGTCAACAATCAAAATTTAAGTTTATAAAGGAATTTATAGCCAAAGAACTAAGTTACATTAAAAAATATCTAACCCACCTTCAGATAGATGATCGCGTCGGTGCCGAACCCCTCACAGGAGAGCAGCACAATGTCACCGTGGAAATAGCGGGCGTAGAGCCTTGAGATCGGCAGACCATATCCATAGCCCGCTAAAGGCACCGTGTGCAGATCCGATTTCGATGGCTGCGGCGCTGTACTGTACATGTACTTAAAAAGCTGGTCCGTCTGGGAGCGGGGAATGCCGCCTCCTTGGTCAGAGATCTTCACGCAGATGTCCTCCTTGCCCTTGCAAATGGCGACCTTCAGAGGAGGCAAGGTGTCATTGTTGTCATGACCATGGTGCTCCACCACCGCTCGCATGGAGTTCTTGAAGAGCTCGAAGAGCATATAGTACAAGTGCGAGGGCACGTAGACGGTGCGGATGGGCAGGTTGTCTCCAGGCTCGCTGCTGTGCTGCTGGATTTCCAGCGCCGGACTGGTCAGGTAGTACTGGTCGCACAGGAAGCGGGCGTTCTCGTAGGCATCGCGCACCACATCCGACAGATCACAGGCGGGGTCCAGACACCCAATGTGGCGACCACCCGCATGGGGATTTCCTCCAAAGAGCAGGGCTTTAAATAAGGGCAGAAAATAATTAGTTAACAATGTGTTCAGCTAAAATTTTGGACGTGCCAACTCACTGTGCTGATTGATTAGCATCCGAATGCTGATTCGCGACATGTAAAGTCTATCCAAAAAGTATTGAATGGAGCTTTCGGTGGGTGCATCTACCTGGCCACCCTCGTTTTCCTTCATTTCGATCACACCCTGGGCCATAGTTTGCACCACATCGTTGTGCCGATTCCTAATGAGATCTAAATCGGCCACAAACCTGGAAAGTACAAATTTTTTATAAATTTCTTAACAGTTTCAAATTTTTGTACTTACTTTTGAAGATTGTCGTGCGTGGGGTCCGCCTTCTCGTACACCAGTACGTCCTCAAAACTCTTGACATACCAGGAGCTTACTTCGCTTACGGATCTTGTGTGCAACAGGTTATCCGGCAGCAGGGCGATCTCCTTCATGATATTCGCCAGTCGGACCGGAAGCTCTTTCCGCAGAAATATATATGATTTCTTTTCGCAAGCATTCTGACCTGTTAATTGAAAAAAAACATTTAAATTTTAGTAAAATTTTATCATTTTCAAAGCAAAATAACTTGATCCAATTAAAAATTCCAAATTGACAAGACAAAACAAAGTTTACTTACATAACAATCGATTTTTAACTAGTTGCTAGTGCTAAAATAATTTTAACTTAGATATTATTGAAAAAATTACAAAATAATATAACTAAAGTTAAAGTAGAACTAGTTTAAATAGCAGAAACGGGTAAAAGTACCTCTGTCCGAAGATATCTATAATTCTATCTATATAGTAAATCGCTTCTGGTCTATAGAGTTTTGGTTTAATTATCAGAAAAAAATTCAATTGGGAACGCAACAAATGCGACGTAAGATCAATGAGATATTTGATTTGTTAAAGCTATTTCTATTTGTGCGCCTGCTATTCTAGATTATTTAAAATATTTTCCCGGCTGGCTTATCAATGCAGCTAAGCATTCAGCGATCATGATCTCACGAGTGAAAACCTCATGGGGAGGAATAACCCAGCCAGAATAAACAACCTTGTAGTACACAAAAGAAAACAGTTCTGAAACCCACATAAATTCAATTGGATTAATTATCAAGAGAGCCCAAAAGTACTTAAGCTAAATACATTTATATATTTGTGTGTAGTTCGTTCAGCCTATGTATGTCTGTACTTCTTTATAAACAAGCTAAGTTCAAAGCTCCTCGGGCAAATGTGAAATAAATCAACCGCAGAAAACTTTGCCCTCGTCAAGCTTTTGAATATGCCTTTGTGTTTGTTATTTTGATGAGTATTATTTTGTATTTGCTTTCGATTCTCTCAGTGTGTGTGTTTGGGTTTTATCTGTTTGTTTGTCGACAGTTAGGCAGTTTCGTAACAAAGAGAGAAGCAAGGAACTGGCATTCGGAGGTGATAACGATGGATCCGCCTTATCGATGGGGCCTTGCTCAGCCGGCAAAGGCACGCCCCCTTTTCTAGCAATTGTTTTTCGCCAAAAATTATTGGCTATAATAATAATTAGGGATCCGCAAAATTCGAGACGGTTAATTAAAATTCCAGACACAACGCAAAAACAAACTAGCCATATACATGGCTATACCGAATAAATTAGACTGGAACCGCTTTATGAGTCAATTGTAACGAATTGGCCAAACAAAACAGAATCAATAAAACGAGTTATAAAGGCAAGCAAAAAATACGGAAAGAGAGGCGATAACCTGATGAATCCACTTATAACAACCTGCCAGAAAGCTATCGAAAAAGCGAGAGATCTGTGCTTAGAGATATGGATATGGCGAGTGGGAGATAGGGGGTATAGCAAACGCCCCTATATACGCGCCTCTGCCCGCTCACAACCCAAAAAGTCCCTAGTAGATGACCTCAAAACAAAGCTTTTAATGCTTTGTTTTTGCTTACTTGTTTGCCATTTCAGACCCTCTCTTCTCCCCCAGCTCTCTCTGTCTCCAGCTATTTGCTTGTTTTGATTGTAGTTGGAAATAATCATAAAGAAACCTCCAGACTCGATCGGCCTGTCAGCGATACACATACGTCGTCTGGCACTCCACAAAATGTAGACTTTGATGCATTGCCACTTCGCTTGATAAGTCTCACCCTCGCTTTCATCGGCGATAAATTTGCAAAGGCGTTAAGTGTCTTAATCATAAGTGCTATATGCATTTAGATAATTGCCCCGCCATAAAAAAGGAAGTTAAGCTGAGAGGATTAAAGATTGGAAATGCGATTGTAAAAAATGATAATTCGGTTATAGCTTGAAAAATCTAATCTAAATGTCGGAACTAATTTTTGACTTACATATATTTTTGCACAATATTTTCTAGATAACTGTAGCGCCCTCGACTGCTTAGAGCATAAATACAAAACTGGTTCCATAGAAATTGTAGTAAACAAATGCATTGAAATGCATTTTTATGTACAACTTAACTAAACGTTTACTGCTAATATGTGAAAAACTGTTGCATGTAGGAGACGTGAAATTGAAAACTTGGCACCACACGAATTCAATACTTAGAGCGTGGAATGGAAAATAAGCTGCGGTTTCAATTCTATCCTCATTATCAGCTTGAGCCATTATATTGGCGATACAGAGTAATTTAGTCGCCAATGGCGCATTAAATAATTTACAACGCATGGCACGCAATCAGCCGAAGGCGCAAAGAAATGCAATTTCTGCAACGACTCAATTGTCCATTCACTGTGCCAATGCAATTACATTAGAAAGGGGTATACTTATAAAGCAATCTATAGAAGGTCTGACGTCACAGCTGGTCCCTCCTTCAAACCATGACCATCCC